TGAGTGAAGAAGATTTACTGGATTGAGTGTGTCCCAAATAGACCGATTAATACAAGCTCAGAATAACAATACTAGAGTGCCAAGATTTACGACTTAGAAATTAATTCTTTTGATTCTGCGTTCATCACAAATTACTTTCCACATGATCTCTAATGTATCCAGATTTCAAATCACCAAGAATGTCGACGTCATTAACGTCGACATTCGACGAAGTAAATTACGAAGGACAGAATGGGAGAGAGTAGAAAATGTCTAATGATGACATGGTGGAACGGAGAAAATGCCAAAAAGTAACATGTCGAAAAATGTCCAAAAGCTTCGAAATTCCAAAAACAGTGCCTGTCTACGGCTAAGTCCATTCCTTTCCAGAGTCAGGCTTTATCGCTTTTTTACTTCATGCCTTCTTCACTCAATTCTTTCGAGGAACTGCTTGAGAGCATGCCTGCAGGAACAGAACCTACTTATGCTTGCTACCAGGAGACGTTAACAGATGTGCAACGCCCTAGAGGGAGCGATATTCCCTCCAAAAACGTGGAATGTGAGGAACAGAATGTTTGGAGACGAGCCTCACACCAATAACCACTTTGAGGGATGGGGATGGCACAACAAGCTAGAAAACAGTTCGATTTGGCGAAACAATCCCAGTATATTCCATTTCCTGGACGTCATCGCTGAAAAGCAGTCAGCATTTAAGCAGGTACTGTTTGGGCGGGAAAGGAATTACCACTAAACGAAATAAATGCAGTAGTGATAGGTAGGATGCAGTAGATAGGAAACTGAAGAAGATAACAGAAGAGTATGATTTGAGGCCTTTGCTCGATTTTTTGAGAGGTTTAGCCACACAATCAAATTTTGAAGCAACATGACATTTGACTAGATCCCTGACGCTAATTTCTTGACGAGCTCATCAACTCAATGAAAGTAATTTTCGAAATGTTTTCCAGTCCACAACTTTGCCTTTCGCCATTCTTGTCTGCGACCATGAGGACGTCCAGCGTTTGTGACCATTCGACGAAAGAGAATTCGATATCATTACATTCGACCATCGAGAGGTTACCGGAGATCCATAATCAACTCAAATTTTCCTGTCAGCTTCAATCTATACTGGGAATGATGTACATGTTATTTCCCAAGGATTTTTTACTTTTATTACTCCTGGAATATACACTTCCTCTAGAGAGGGACTATTCAATATAGAGTACTGTATAATCATACCTGTGGCTATACAGCATCGCTTCTGTATAACCATGCAGATTTCACTGTCGTAGATTAATGTTTAACTACAGCCTACAAATAGAGACTTGACTGTGACACGGTAAAGGATACTAATGGTATGCTGAAAATATGTTGGCTGGGTTAAGCATCTCACCTTTGCACCTGAGTTGACGGTCAACTGATCCCTAACCCAGGTCAAGGGTCGATGAGCCTGAAAGTGCAAAATAATTATTCGTGAATGATGAGCTTGTAGACTTAGGTACCATAATATCATGTATGGAAATGCTTCAGACGCAAGAACGTGATGACAAAAATGCCATAACTTTGGTAATGAACTTTTAGATATGTTTCCCTTTTTCCATGTTCATTTTGTAGGCTTCTCCTGTTCTAATGCATTTTTGGCATGAGCCGTGAATCGTCCAAACCAAGTAAATCTAATGCCATTGCTTAAAGAGCATACACACTCAGGTGATATAAAACCGCTATTCAGTCGAAGAGATGACCGAGCAGTTGGCAAAAAAGGGAGAAAAAAATTCATCTAACCTCTTGGTGAACTTGAGAGAGAGAATAACTGACGACACAAGCTCGAAGCATTGTGAAGAAAATTTCGAAGATGAGGTGGAAACTAGGCAGTTCAGGTTGCTCGATCAGGACCACCAATAACTGAATGCAGTAGGTAATCACTTCCAGATAAAAGAATATGGTGATGGGAGACGTGACGTCATCTGTCAGCTTCACTAGCTGCACCAGCTCCCAATGCAATGTCTGCGCCTAATTACGAACGAGGAACAAAGATCATGTGATGCTATTTCAGGGAAATAAAGCAGCAATTTTCAAGTGAAGTGAACATTTGTCTTCACACGGAAGGATCAACCCAAGCCAAAGCCTTTGAATTTGAGAAGGCCTACGAAGTTGGCCTCGGTATATGGAGGACAAATGAATAGTCAATCGAGGAATCGATGATAGGATATATACGGGGAGGTGGCGAACGACATCACTTAAAGGTTTAGGCTCTTCCACGTCGCATGGGAGCCTTGAGATAAGAAGAGTCGTCCGGATACCGCAGTCCTTTCGGCATTTGTATTCGCCATTCGTCATTGAATGAATGGTCCTTGAATATGTGCGCAATGCAGCCCAGTCCAGGCCCCGAAAGGAACACATTCAATCCGCAAAGAAGTTGAAGCAGCTTGTTTGTCATAATAATGCCCAGAACCCATTCCCTTCCCATCCTCAAAATTCCACTCATACCTACAGTCTGAGGGCGGGTTCAGTGGCGTCCTGCTCAGGCTAGGGATGGGGGCGGGGGCGGGGGCGGGGGAAGATCATCCAGAGATACAAATTGCTCAAAATGCGACTTCTCAAAAACGCTGGGCTTCCGAGTCCGGCTTCATGGCCCTCCTCATGACTCATTTCAATCTCCTGCTGGGCTGTGACAGGTTTTGACAGGTTTTAAAAAAATGTCACCCCATGAAGGGTCCATGTCGCCTGGTCCTTTCTGGGACTGGACCAGAATGTCCCGACAACGCTAACAGGCTTGAGCACTTCTCATGGAGCGGGATGCAGGTGATTGCTGATGAGACGTTGTTAGCCTGCATTTTCGAAATCTTCCAAGTAGAAATACTATCATCCCTTAGCAAGAGAGTCTTGAGGAAATTAGATTATTTCCTACAAAAGGCTTATTTAATGGTTTTTCCATCTCTCCCTGCTCCCCTGTTTCCCGCTTCTTGTGATTTTCACTTTTCCAAATCCAGTCAGTGAACAGCAAAGCAGAAACGTACAATGAGGGAAACATTTTGTACGTTATTAGGTACAATACCTATGTCGTAAAATATCTGTCGCTGAAAAGGAACCAAAGCAAAATAAGGTACAAATGTATACCTTTCTTATCTCTATTCAAAAGGAACGGATGGCGGTGTTTTCCTTAGAACCCCATGTGTACCTCGTTTCCTATGAAATATCTGCCTCTGAACTTCAATTCTCAGCTTTCAGGAGTTGAAATGACCCCGGATGAATAATATGTCTCTACTAGCAATTTTTTTTTGTCATTCGAGTAAAAAAATAATTACAATGGCTTCAGGCCTACGTTATCTAGGATAATGATGAATTCATTTGAAATATCCGTTTTGACCAATCTGGCAGAACGTATGGCGTATTAGGCATTTTCATTGCTCTCTGAATTTACTTCCCATAACTGACATTATGTTCAGTTCAGAAAATATTCAAATTTTGTGATACATCCCCTCAGGGTAGAAATTTTGGGTGTGCCGGAGTTTTCAAATATATTTTTGCACCAACGAAGAGGGCAAACGTATAAGACCGAAACTTGGTGGGCATGGAGTTCTTCGAGAACCGATTTCAGCAACAAAATAGTTTCTTTTTAGGTTAAACCCCTCTGGGCACAACATTTTCCGCATTTTCCAGAATGTTTTCTGATTCAACGAAACAGAGTGCGATGGAAAGTTGAAACTTGATGATGAAGTAGCTGTTGGCTTGCTGAATACAGAAAAAAAAAACTGCTTTTTGAATATGCCTTTTCAGGACAAATTATGGGGTGAAGTATTTCATGATTTATTTTCCGCTCTGGCAAATGGTGAAATATAAAGAGGTTTATAGTTCGGCACTGCATAAATCATTTGAGCATGAATTAAGTTTTAATAATCTGGGTTTCGTCCACTCATGGCACATATTTCGGTAGAAACATTCTTAAAAATGGTTTTATTACTTCGGAAAACGTAATTATTGAAAGATGAAATTAGGTAAACAAGTGCTTCCTCTGGATACTAATATTAGAAACGTCTCTAGTTGTGGGGCTTATTCCAAGGGACTTTTTGTTTTTAGAGAGAATTTTCCGCCAACAGACATTTTCGTTGGAAGAAGCTTCAAAATGGAGAAATAGGTGACTCATATTTGGTATTCTTGCATGTTCTTGGGTACTGATTTCTGCCCATTTTATTTTTTTCTGGTGCATCCCAACAGGGACCTTACTATTTTTAAATACACGTATTCCCAAAAATGCTTGGGATATTTCCTTTTGAGACAAATTTTTTTGGGGAGACATTTCCACAAAATTAATTGTTGCAGCTGCAGAAAACTTAAATTCTATTAAGGTTAGCTAGAAATAAAGATTATTTCAAGGAAAGTTCCTCCTTTTTGGTTCCATTTCAATGCGGGCGAAATATTTTTATGCAGCACGTTTGCGAGAAACATTTATCCTAAAACGATTCGAGAGGGTGAAAAATAACTAATATACCATACAGAAGTACCCCTCGGTTCGACTAAAGAAGCTAAAGATCTCAGTATTTTTTACTAGCGAATGACGTAACATGACTGGAAAAAAAATTGACGGAACGGCAAAGATCCCTATAACCCCATGAGCTTTACTAGAGTGGTCAAAACGGTTATTTGGATGAATTAATCATCATCCTAGATACTGGAGCGTCGAAGGCACGACCATAGCAAGTTTGTTTGCCCGAAAGGCATATTCGTTAGTACATAGGTACGTCTCACATTTGCGCAGTGTACTTCGCTCGTTTCTAATTTGCTGTGTGGCTAAATGCACCAATCAGGGAAAAGTAATAATCAAACTTCCTACATGGACGCAGGTGATATTGTCATCTCTGTAGCTTTGGAGATGCACACTAGGATGATTTTATTTCATAATTGCTCATAAATTGCAAATTTTAACAGGATGTTCGCCAAATCTCCGTCGCAAACTGGTACATGTCCTTACTTTTGAAAAGAACAGCAAAAAAAAGACTATTGCCCTATCCTAAAAGAATAATTTCTCATGATACCTGCTTGGCAGTGAATTTTCCATCCATCAAAGCCCTGTTGAATGCCTTAAGTTTCGTTATCAGGGGGATTGAGAGGGCGAACAAGAATGCCGAGGTCGTGCACCAATGCAAGTTGAATAAGACTCCGTTAAAGGCGTAATAGACGCTGAAGGATTCCATTGAATTTCCTACAGAATAAAAAGAGTAAAACAAGTTGCCATTACAGAATGGCATGACGACTGTTGAGAAACATGAAATGAAATGTTTCTTACCAAACAGCACGATCGAGTTTCCCGATGCGTTGTGATATCCGGTCTGAATCCATTCGACGATCATTGGTCCTTCACTTGCAACGAAGTAGAAAATGACGGCAAGAGTCGCAACCAGCCCAATTACTCGAGCCTAAACGCCATGAAAAAAAATTCAATTGCAAGAGGACATATGTACAACATAGAGCGAAGAGATCCCTGAGTAATAACATGGAATCTCACCCTTGGAAGGGAAGAGTTAACCCATAACGCAGAGAACTTGGATTCCACTTGAGCATGGAGTCTGGCCAGGCGACTCAAAGTCTCTGTCTTATAAACAGATACGAAATAGAAGGCCATGCTCATGCATAGGAACGAAACAGCCGTGGAGTAGGAAAACATTCCTTTGCTCCGAGATATGGGATCGCCATAGAAGGTATTCAATGTCTCATGGATCAGAACGTACATGGCCCCCGCCGGAAATATGATGAAACCTAAAATGCAAATGAAGTGTTGCAGCCACGTCTTACGGATGTTCTGTGACAAGTCCAGTTGCAGCGTGGGAAATGCGAGGACAAATTTCCCCAACAAAATGCACGGTCGAAGGACGTTGATGAGATCGGGGGATCGTTCCTCATTCTTCTCCATTTTCCCTGGGAGAGACTTATCGACGCCACCTGCCATCATGAGAGTTGACTGGAATCTGAGAGCTTTTTCGACGTTCGATCGTGCTGATGGAATTGGATTGGAAACTTCATTGTACGCATGGCATTACCGGGAAATGCCGTCATTTCATCAATATACTGCCCCGTGTTAAAACCCATTCAGACTCTTGTATGTCGGGGCGTGGTGACCCAATCTTGTTACCGGAAATTTCCGCCATGAAAGAAGATAAGAGTTCCATGAATTTGACATTAGGCCAAGAAAATACATTTCATCGACTCATCTGAACGTGTCAATACAATCACTTATGCATCGTAGAAAGCTACGGCTTCTCATCTACAGCACAAGTCAAAAGTAAAAATAAATCAACTGCATATTTATGATAATTATTCCTGTATCCGTAATAACTTAATTTTTTTCCAGTGGTATGGAACTGACCAATGACGAACGTGTGGAGGTGATTCTCCCGTGTTCGTCGCAGGAATTCGCCCTAAAGGAACGTTGGTTATGAATTTAACATGCTGCACCCACAATGGTCACAACATCACAGTAAGCAGTAAATATTAAATAGATTGCTGCCACGCGGTTATGATTTGTCAAAAGTCTGTTAAGTACTACATCAATAGGCTTGATAATTTTTCCCTTTACAGAATATATCCCTGTAGATGACAGATTGACATCATGTTTAAGTACATTTAGCTTTGTACTTCAGGGACCGTATTCTCCGAACTTTCTCACAAACTTTTTTTCGTAAGAAGAGAAAAGTTCGTAAGTGGTATTCATGAAACATTTTTGAGTAAGATGTTCGTACGATCTTCGTACGAATACTGCACAATTTCGGTATTCACGAAAGCGCAAAAGTTCGTATCTTTCTTCGAAAGTCTACGAATGGTCCCGAGGATATTGGAAGTGGCCGCAATGATGATGTTTAGGCAATCTGTGGAACTCTCCTTCATTGGGTGCCTCATTTAAGCTAAGGTTCACACACATTCACAGGTTCACAGGGTATATCCACACTCAATTCACAGGATTTTGCCCCAGAGGTCATGAGGTCCTGAGGTCATTCACATTTAGAAGATTAATGGCCTCAGGGAGGTCATTTATACCTGGGGCAGCCCATGGGTGGGTCCTTCCTCTGATGACAATAGAAAAATCCCCGACCCGATTGTCCTGACACGGCCTTATCCCAGAGGCTGTTGTCGTTCTTTGAGCAGTGGGTTGGGATGGCTTACCATACTTTCTTTCATTTCTTTCAGAAATATATCGACGTGCTCTCCGAAGAGAAAGTTTTTCGAGATCGACACGACCCACTCTAAGCGTCGGAAGATCACTTGATAAGGAACTACAGGTTTCCGAGGCAAATCATCCTTGAAATCACTGAGGATCTCTACAAAGGCAGACTGCACGAAGTCTATCTCTTCCACCTCTGCATCAAATATGTGGAGCTCTTTACAACTTCGATAGTGGAGTGTTGCAAAGATCTTTTTCTCTTCGCTTTGTGGATTCAGTCAGCTGACAGTGTCCCGAGTGCTCCAGGATGTAGTGGACGCCTTGGTTAATGTTTATATGAGAAAGTGGGTGCAATTTCCGTCAGGCGAAAATGTCGTCACGACACAAGCTGGATTTTTTAGAATCACCGGCTTTCCGAAAGTGATTGCTGCTGTTGATTGCACCCGTGTTCCCATCAGAGTCCCCTCGAGGGAAGACGAACACCTGTAAGTCAACCGCAAGGGGTGGCATTCCATCAAAGTGCAAGCAGTTTGCAATGCTATGATTTTCAGTATCATCGTTGCCAGATTGTTGCCAGGGGAAGCACCCATGATTCGTTTGTTTTGAGGACATCTTAGTTGTGATATTTTTTTGATACCCCCAGAAGCTTCTGGTTATTTGGTGAGTGTTCGCTCTATATAAATATACTATGTATGATACTACTCGAATATCCCACGTTTAGCTGTAAATCCGGGCAGTGGGCAAAAACTTTGCGTGAATGTGCTGGGAGACGGACTTGCGCATGATTTTTGGTTCCTCACAGCTTCCTTAATGCTAGTTCTATGCTTGCACAAAAACGTTGACGCTTTGGACGTCGATTGTTGCCATAGCATTGCTTCAATGCTACCATACCGAGGTTCCTTTGAGAGCTTCCTAAAGCTATAATGCCAAGATTCTTTCTATGATATATGGAAAAACACTCGAACACCGAAACACACAAATAAATATTTCCACCGTTGCACTATTGCACGTATGTTTGCTGGGTCGATTGTCTCGAAAGTGGCATTGACACGAAACGTATCATCGTTGCTAGTCTTCCATCGAAAATCGTAGTCTTGGGCGAATGACTTTGGCGTTGTTGGGTGGTGGGATTCGACTCCTACTTTACATTCCCCTGAAAGCACACCAGTGAAATTAAATCAGGAGGACAATCAGGCATGAAAGCTTCCATGATTGAAACAAGAGTTGCGAGAAAGCCCCGTTACTGTTTACACGTCTTATTCGTTGTGAGGTCTCTAGTCGCTCAAGCAACGAAAACGTCATGTTTGGTCACCATCTCATGACAAAAAGGAAGAAACTTCACAGCTAATCGCTGTTGATGTTAATTTATTAGATGCCATTTGTTTGGGTTACTTTACGAACTGACATCCACCGCTAAGTTAATTATGGGTGCGCAAAACGGAATGGCGAACGATTTACAGCAGTTCCATAGCCAAAATTATTTTGTTCGCTCTGACATTTCTCAGAATACATATTTCTAAGTCTCACGTGAACCACTCATAGATATCTGATTAATCCAGAAAGGAGCATTCATTAAAAAATAACATGGGTATGGATTTTCACAATACGCACTGGATTCTTCATCCATCTTTCGAGATTTTATTCTTATATTCTTGGCAACTAAATTGCTCACATGAATTCGACAGAAGGAGCTTTCATTAGTGCATAAAGGACACGTGAATAGTGCATAGACCGGCATAATATATTCTGTATCTGCAGGTCAAAGCAGAGAAAGCCAACTGCATGAGTGTCACTCATTTCGGAATTGGAGTCGAACTGTCGTGTATGTGCACATAATCCCAAAGACCTGAAATGAAAGACATATTATGCACAATAATATTTAAAGCAAATGGAAACAGATTCAATTTTCTTACTGTGGATAGAAATGACCTGGTGACATAGAAGAACCCCATTCCCGACAAGGCAACCTCTTGACCATTGCATCTCTCTAATAGCAGCCAGAGATCCTATATACAAGTATTAAGAAGTACGACTTGCTGCATAGAAAGTCGGCTTATCATTATGGTAATATACGAGGTATGTCGATATCAAGCAGCAAGCGACAGTCAGAACAATGAAGGGCCAAACGGATCTATCCTACTTTTTGCCTGCTTCATGAATCTTTATCTTCAGCTGACCTTCTTTCAGGGATGGTCCAGTTATGGCCCTTGTGCGATTCTATTGATATATATATCTATATAGCGAATGCCTACTTACCGACTGCCGAAAAGAAATTTGGCAGGGTTAATGTCTCACCTTTGCAGCAGGATTAATGACCAACTGATCCCTTACCCAGGTCAAGGGACGACGAACCTAAAAGTGCAAAAAAAAATTATTATTGAACGCTGAGTTCGTACAATCTATTCAAATTCATGCATGGAAAATATTCAGTACTTAAGAACATGATGACGAAGGTGCAAAATAGTGGTGTTACTCTTTGCACACGCACTCAAATTTTGCCAATTCATTTAAACGGTAATGCATATTCAAAATGATTTTGTGCCAAACCAGCGCATCACCCAATCTGAGCAAATATAATTTACTCCATTAAAAAAATTTAATTTGTAGTATCTCATTAAAAGGTTTTTGACCAAAAGCAATCAGATCTGGTAGTTGGTAAATGTAGAAAAACGCATCTAACCTCTTCATGAACCTGAGAGAGAGAATAACTGACGACACAAGCTCGAAGAATTGAGAAGAACATTTTGAAGAGATTGAAGAAACTAGGTAGGTCAGGTTGTTCGATCAAGACAACCAACAAGTGAATGCCGTAGGTGATCACTTCCAGAAAGAAGAAGACGGTGACAGGAGACATTACGTCATCTGTCAGCTTCACCAGCTGTATCAGCTCCCAATGCAACGTCTGTGCCTAGTAACGAGCAAGGAATTAAATTAATGTTTGCTATTTAAAGGAGAAACAAATGCATCACCCTTTGAAACATTTTCAGTCATTTTATTCTCATGAATTGATGTACCTAGCTGTAACCCTAGGATTATTAATAACAGAACGTCGCTACGAAGTTGGTCTTGGAATCGGGAGGAGTTTATTTCGTAAGTTAAAGGACGATAGAGTATTTAAATTCGGAAGAAACAAAACACCACCGAAAGAGGAAAATCCTAGGAAGTAATATATGACAATTATAAAGCAGGCGTATGAAGTGAGCCAATGCATATATTCTTCGCCACGGCGATGGATGAATCGATGCGATGGGATCCACGAGTCAAATGGAAGCCGCGGCGAGCGACGTCCCTGGGATATTCATCGGCATCCCTTGGAGCTTTGAGATCGGAAAGATCTCAGATCCGTCGTGCTGCAGTCTTTTCGCATTTGCATCGATTTTGGAACTTTTTGGAACTTTTTGGACCTCGTGCCAAGATGTCTCGAAGATACTTGCAACGCTTCGAGTCTGTTCAATAGCGGGACGCGACTGATCCCTGAAGAGATGTTGTTCCCTCCATGTGCAACATCATTTCGAGCACGGATCCTGTCATCGTTAAGCATTGAAGCCATAACCTTCCCAAATAAACACAGGTAACGATTTTACCTATTAAAGAGTAGGGCCCAATTCTACGTAGCTTTGGGGATGCCCCCATAATCAAATCGTTTCCAAATGTCAAAGTATTTGCTGATACATTACGGAATCACAAATGGATGTTCTCTAGGTCACCATCTCAATCAAATAAATGAGCCTTATGGCAAAAACTTCAAAATTAGGCCAACGAAAATGGAAATTACCATAGTAGCATATAATAATGAATCAACTTTGATTCAACGTTGGTTCAACGTCAGGACGTTGAATCAATGTTGTTTCAATGTTACTGGGGGTATCCTACCTGCTTTGCGGTGAATTTCCCATCCATCAAGGCTTTGTTGAATGCTCTAAGTTTCGCTATCAAGGGCATTGAGAGGACGAACAAGAATACCGAACTCATGCCCCAATACAAGTTTAGGAAGAAGCTGTCAAGGATGGAATTGGCGACGAAGACTTCCACTGATCCTCCTACGGAAAGTGGAAAACATGTTTCCATACTAAAATACTACATATGAATCGTGGAAAAAAAAAGTCTTACCAAAGGGTACAGTTGAGTTTCCCGATTCTATCAGACATCCGGTCTGAATCCATTTGACAAACCAGGGTACTTCACTTGCGAAGACGTAGACCACGACGGTTAGAATCGAAACCAACCCAATCACCCCAGGCTGAATGCCATAGACCAACCTTCAGTATTTTGAGTAAAATAAAAAGGAAAGAGTTTCCAGAGTAAAGGCAAGGAATCTCACCCTTGGAAGAGAAGAGTGAATCAAGAACGTTGAGAGCTTGGACTCCACTCGAGCATGAAGTCTGGCCAGGCGACTCAAAGTCTCTGTCTTATGAACAGATACGAAATAGAAGGCCATGCTCATGCAAAGGAACGACACGGTAATGCAGTAGGAAAACATTCCTTTGATTCGAGCTTTCGGCTCGGCATAGAAGCAATCCAAAGTCGAATAAATCAGCTCGTATATGATTCCCGCCGGGATCAGGACGAAACCCAAAATGCAAAGGAAAATTTGGAGCCACGTCTTACGGATGCTTCGAGACAAGTCCAGTTGCAGCGTGGGAAAAGCGAGGCAAAATTTCCCCACCAAAATGCACGGTCGAAGGACGTTGATGAGATCGGGGGATCTCTCCTCATCTTTCTCCATTTTCCCTGCGAGAGCCTTTCCGGTGCCAGCAGCCATTCGAGAGTGGTCAATGATCGATCATGGAATTGGATTGGGAGCTATGCAAGGTTGCACGCATGACATTTCCCGGAATGCCGTCGGTTCATCAATCCCATCATGTTAAAACCCCTTTCATTTTATGTCTCTCAGGGCGTGGTGACAATGGGGAAGTTTGTGGAAATTTGAGGAATGAAGGCTAATTTGAGCTTGATGAATTCAACATGAGGCTACGGAACGACATTTCATTGATTTATCCTATCTAGTCGATAAAAATAAATTATGCATCTCACGAAGTTATCTCATCGCATATATGTTATCCAATAAAGATAAAATCTTTGAGCTTGCAAAGAGTACCAGTAATTACTTTTTTTGTTTTTCCCTTCTGAAAGAGTAATATGTGTGAATGCGTATATTGTACTAACGAGTTCGTTTGCCCGATGGACAAACAAACTGTGGAGATTCCCCAGCGTGCTGGAAGATTGTCATCAGCCACTATGAAATTCCAAATGTTTATATTAATAAATATGTCTTGATATGCAGCAGCACTCACATATTGTTGGGGAAAAGTCTTCCGGACCAGCATTCCCCGAATGCTGGTCGATATCATATTTCGCAGAATCAGATCGGAAAGATCGTCGAATGAGGAATCTGCGCGAGTCAGCTTCTCGCGGTCACGAAAATTTGCACATCGCGGCGTGGTCGAGCTCGAGCACGTGCTGGGCCATTTCCAAAACAAATCCTGGAATTGAACATTAAATATCGAACACGAATTTGATCGACTCGTGAGACTCCGTCTTCAGCATCGATCTGGTCACGGTCTTCACGGGACGCGTTTCCTTTTCGGAAAATGAAGTTCGCTTCGCTGCTGCTTCTTGCAAAATGCAGATTTTTTTCGTCAACTTCCCGAAAATGATTGATTCGTTCTGGATCCTTCTCGTCCCTTTCTATGAGAAATTGCTCAGAGAGTGAATTTTTTTGTTTCTCATATGAATGCTGTTTCTCCAGACTTTCCATGAAATCTAAATGAAAATCGTTACGGAATCGTTACGGAAT